GGGAAATGGGGAATGGGGGAAATGGGGAAATGGGGATTGAAAATGGAGAATTAAGGGAAAAGAAGGGAAATGAGAAAATGGAGGAATTTGGGGATGGGGAAAAATGGGATTGGGGAATGGGGGGAATGGGGGATTTGGAAATGGGAAATGGGAGGAAAAGAAGGGAAATGTTAAAATGGGGGAATTTGGGAATGGGCAAATGGGGAAAATGGGATTGGGGAATGGGGGAGTGGCAAAATTCGGGGGAAAAGGGGGAAATGGGACTGGTGGTGCTCACACCTTTCCCTCCCCACGTAGACCCGGCCCAGCTGCTCCTGTCCTCACTTGTCCCACCTGTCCCTCACCCGTCCCTCACCTGTCCCTCACCTCTCCCTACCTGTTATAGGTGGCTCCACCCATCCCCACCTGTGCTCACCTGTCTCTCACCTGTTCCACCTCTCTGAGCTGTCCCTCACCTGTCCCAGGTGTCCCCACCCACCCCTACCTGTCCCTCACCTGTTGTAGGTGTCCCTCACCTGTCCCACCTGTTCTCACCTGCCGAAGGTGGCGTCCCGGTAGGGCAGGGCCATCCAGGAGCGGGGCGTGTCCCTCAGGTACCGCCGGTGCTCCTGTCCCACCCATCCTGGCCTGTCCCTCACCTGCCGAAGGCGGCATCCCGGTAGGGCAGGGCCATCCAGGAGCGGGGCATGTCCCGCAGGTACCGCCGGTGCTCCTGTCCCAGCTGTCCCACCCATCCCAGCTGTCCCTCACCTGTCCCACCTGCACTCACCTGCCGAAGGCGGCGTCCCGGTAGGGCAGGGCCATCCAGGAGCGGGGCGTGTCCATCAGGTACTGACAGTGCTCCTGTCCCACCTGTCCCTCACCTGTCCCACCTGTCCCTCGCCTGCTGTAGGTGTCCCCACCTGCACTCACCTGCCGAAGGCGGCGTCCCGGTATGGCAGCGCCATCCAGGAGCGGGGCACGTCCCTCAGGTACCGCCGGTGCTCCTGTCCCTCACCTGTTGTAGGTGTCCCCACCTGTCCCTCACCCATCCCAACCTGTCCCTCACCTGTGCTCACCTGCCAAAGGCGGCGTCCCCGTATGGCAGGGCCATCCAGGAGCGGGGCGTGTCCCTCAGGTACCGCCGGTGCTCCTGTCCCGCCTGTCCCTCACCTGTTGTAGATGTCCCCAGCTGTCCCTCACCTGCACTCACCTGCCGAAGGCGGCGTCCCGGTAGGGCAGCGCCATCCAGGAGCGGGGCATGTCCCGCAGGTACCGCCGGTGCTCCTCCTCGCTCGGGTCCCTCCCCACGTAGACCAGGCCGAGCTGCTCCTGTCCCCACCTGTCCCACCTGCGTCACCTGCCGAAGGCGGCGTCCCGGTATGGCAGGGCCATCCAGGAGCAGGGCATGTCCCTCAGGTACCGCCGCTGCTCCTGTCCCGCCTGTCCCACCCATGTCCACCTGTCCCTCACCTGCCGAAGGCGGCGTCTCCTCAGGTGCCGCCGGTGCTCCTGTCCCACCTGTCCCACCCATGCCCACCTGTCCCTCACCTGCTGTAGGTGTCCCCACCACCCATCCCGGCCTGCCCCCCCCCTGTCCCCCCTGCACTCCCCTGCCGAAGGCGGCATCCCGGTAGGGCAGCGCCATCCAGGAGTGGGGCGTGTCCCTCAGGTACTGACAGTGCTCCTGTCCCACCTGTCCCTCACCTGTCCCTCACCTGTCCCACCTGCACTCACCTGCCGAAGGCGGCATCCCGGTAGGGCAGCGCCATCCAGGAGCAGGGCATGTCCTTCAGGTACCGCCGGTGCTCCTATCCCACCTGTCCCTCACCTGTTGTAGGTGTCCCACCTGTCCCACCCATCCCGGCCTGTCCCTCACCTGCCGAAGGCGGCGTCCCGGTATGGCAGCGCCATCCAGGAGCGGGGCATGTCCCGCAGGTACCGCCGGTGCTCCTCCTCGCTCGGGTCCCTCCCCACGTAGACCAGGCCGAGCTGCTCGGGCCGCTCGACGTGCGCGGGGTCGGTGAGGCGGCCTGCTGTAGGTCTCCCCACCTGCACTCACCTGCCGAAGGCGACGTCCCGGTAGGGCAGCGCCATCCAGGAGCGAGGCTTTTCCCGCAGGTACCGCCGGTGCTCCTCCTCGCTCGGGTCCCTCCCCACGTAGACCAGGCCGAGCTGCTCGGGCCGCTCGACGTGCGCGGGGTCGGTGAGGCGGCTCCAGAAGCGGCGCAGGCGGGGCTCGAACTCGCGGCAGCGCGGGCAGCGGCGCGCGGCGAAGAGCAGCAGCAGCAGGCGGTTGTCGAGCGCCGCGCGCAGCTCGCGCTCCGTGTCCAGGCGGCGCTCGGAGCTCCGCGCCAGCAGCGCCCGGCCCGAGAACAGCGCCCAGGCCATGGGGAAGGGGTTAAACACGGTACTGGGAGCGGGGTGGGGGTGAAAGATGAGAGCGGGAAGAACCGCGAGGTAAAAAGAGTGAGAATGTAAAAATAATAATGGTGGGAGTAACGAAAGGAAGGGTAGATATAATGGAATAATGATAAAGATTAAGGTAATTTAAAAATAAGAGTGAAAGTAATGAGAATAGTAATAAAAAATAATAGTAAGAGCAGTAATGATAAAAATGAAAATAAAAGTAATAAAAATAGTAATTAATAGTAATAATAAAAATAAAAGTAATGATAATAAAAAGAGCAATTAATAGTAATAGTAGTAATTACAGTGATTTAAAAGTAATAAAAATTAAAATTAAAATAAGAAGAATAGTAGTAATAATAATAGTAATAGTGATAGCAATAATAATAATAATAATAATAATAATAATAATAATAATAATAATAATAATGGGGGTTTTATGCTAAAAAAATTGGGGTTTTAGAGCTAAAAATAGCAATTTGGGGAAAAAATAATGGGGATTTATCCCGAAAAAAAAAAGGAGATTTATCCCTAAAAAAATGGGGGTTTATTCCTAAAAAAATGGGGTTTATCCCTAAAAAGAATGGGGATTTATCTGTAAAAGAAATGGGGTCTATCACTAAAAAAATGCGGCTTTATGTCTAAAAAATTAGGGATTTATCCCTAAAATATTGAGGATTTATCCCTAAAAAATGAGGGTTTTTTCCCCTAAAAATGCGGGATTTAGGGCTAAAAAAAGAGGATTTTATCCCTAAAAAATGGGGTTTTTCCCTTAAAAAATGGGGGGTTTTTTCCCCTCAAAAATTGGGGATTTATCCCTAAAAAAATGGGGATTTACCCCTTTAAAAAAAGGGTCTGTGGAAGAGGAAAAAGGAAAGGGGAAAATGGGAATTTTCTCCCAAAAAAATGATCCAAGGGGCCGGAGCTGCCTCCCAGCTCCCTGCCGAGTGCGGATTAGGAGCAAGCAGATTAATTAAGGGATTGATTAGCGGGTTAATTAACGGCGGGAGAGGGGGAAGGGCGGGAGGTGCTGGGGGAGGGGCCATGGAGGGCCCAAAAAATGGGGATTTATACCAAAAAATGGGATTTTAATGCCAAAAATTGGGGTTTATCTCTAAAAATTGGGGGCTTATCACAAAAAATGGGGGGAGGTTTATTAATTAAGTGGGTGTTTTATCCCAAAAATGGGGGTTTTATTCCAAAAACCTTATTTTTATTATCAAAAATGGTGGTTTATCCTAAAATATGGGGTGAACCCCCCCCCACAAATGGGATGGAAACCCCCAAAATGGGATGAAAACCCCCAAAATTGGATAAAAACTCCCACAAATTGATGGAAACCCCAAAAAAGGGCTTAAACACCCCCAGAAAATGTATGGAAACCCCCCAAAAAAGGGCTTAAAACCCCAAAAATGGGATGGAAACCCCCAAAATTGGTGAAAAGCCCCCGAAAATGGGATTAAAATTTAAAAAATGGGATGAAACCCCTAAAAATGGGATTAAACCCCCCAAAAATTGATGGAAACCACAAAAAATGGGATTAAACACCCCCAGAAAACGGATGGAAACCCCAAAAATTGATGGAAACCCCCAAAAAAATGGTTGGAAACCCCTAAAAATGGGATTAAACCCCCCAAAATGGGAAGGAAACCCCCCAAAAATGGGATTTAAAACTCCCCAAAATTGATGGAAACACAGAAAAACTGGATGGAAAACCCCCAAAAATAGGATTAAGACTCCAAAATGGGATTAACCCCCCCAAAAATGGGATTAAACCCCCCAAAAATGGGATGGAAACCCCAAAAAATGGGATTAAACCCCCAAAAATGGAATGGAAACCCCAAAAAATTGATGAAAAACCCCAAAAATGAATGGAAACCCCCCAAAAAAGGATGGAACCCCCCCAAAAATGGACGGAAACCCCAAAATAAAGGATTTTTTTACAGGGTGGAGCCCCCGCCCCCGGTGGCGGATTTGGGATTCGGGATTTGGGATTTGGGGAAATCGGATTAACGGCGCGGTGGGGGAGGGGCGGCGGG